GTGAGGAGAGTTTTAGGTTTTTGGTTCTTGTGGTTGTTTTCCACAGAAAAATTAACTGGTAAATTGGTTTTTGGTATTAAAAAAGGGTGATTTCTTTCATTGCTCTAGGTGTGGTTTGTGGCAAGGTTATTAAATCTAGATGAAATTGCTGGTATTTTTCAAGTTATGGCTTTTTGCATGTTTTTTTTCTTGAAGGGCTTTCTTATTTTACACAAGTATCATGTTTGGACTGGTATTTGTGCAGTGCAATTTTGTGGTCCTTTTTCTTTTGGAGATGTTTTGCTGGAAAAAAATGTATTACTATAGTCAAGTTCTAGTAGTCATCTGCCATGATAATTATAATCATCTTAAGTATATAGCCTCAACTGAATATGGTCTAATATATCTAATTGGAGGAATGAGCCGAAGAGTGGCTTCTCATAAGTCCTAGAAAGCCAATTTGCAAGTACCAAAAACTGAAATACTTTCTAGGTGGATGCTTAAGATCTTGAAAGAAGAAATCAAGAAGCGTAAGGGTTAACGTGGAAGATATGAAGATCTATTATCATAAACTGCACCCAAGTTTATGTTCAGGTTAAAGTATAAGAATGAAGAAATAAGATTAGCTTATATTACCCAAATACAGGTATACACTTATTGAATAGACTGTACTTTCTCATTGTAATATTTGCAACTTGTCTATTAACATTTGCGGTTGATGTTAAGTTCTGAGTTTAGAAAAGGTTATGATGGCCATGTGCTGGGGAAGTAACTGATATAGAGTAGCTTGCTAAATACTAGAAATCTTTTAGGAGTAGGAGGGAGGGAGAGAGGAGGAGGAAGCTGCAAGCCTCTATTCTAGCTGCAAAACCCCTTAGTACAAGAGCATGATGTACAATTCCTATCTATTTCATTTTACCAACAAGATAATTAAGATGCCACCGAACCTGGACTTGTTGAGAAGCCTTCATTTTTTTATTTATTGTGTGAGAGTGCAAATATACCAAATCCTCTTATTGTGGCTTTTTGCTAATATAAAGGGAAATTATAATATAGGATCATCTTTATGTTAAACTTACTGGATCTTATCAATCCACTACTAGATTTGCTGAAAAGTTGGGCTGGTATCTCGACTAAAATATGCACAAAAAGAACCATCTTATTTGATGTTTGAAAATTTTTGGTTTAATGCCATTTTTATTTCAGAACGTGTTAGGCATATCCTCACTGAATTCTATTTAATGTCTAGCAAATCGTCTCCTTTTGCTATGCTAAATTAGATATTTCATAACTGGTAGAAGAAAGTAAGAGCATGTCATATACAACTATTAACAAAGATAAATAAATGAAAAGATTAAGTATTTTTATTGATTACATACTAAATGGCCGCTATAGCCTCTCTCTCTTTGAGCTCTACTGATCCATTTCAACTTTATTGTTATTATCGTTTACCCTCTGCCAATCCTATAAATATCCAGCAGATTCTACTGATATCTTTTTGCAATGGTAAACTAGATATTTGTTAACCAATAGCACGTACAACTAGATCATATATGAATACTAACAAAGAAGGTTAAATGAATAGAAGAAGGGTTTCCAACTCTATTGTAAGTTTGTAACAATTCTTTAAAGAATTTGACGATGTTGGATAGGACATAGGCTATTTATAAAGTAATTTGGGAGGCTAATTACGTTTAAGAGGTACTCTAGCTGCCAGAGCAAGTATTTTGAGCTCCTAAAGTAGCATTGGTGGCCTAAGGAAGCCAAGCCAAAAAAAAAAAAGTATGTTGCAACTTAAACATAATAATAGGTTAAAAGAATAGGCTATGAAAAAATTGATCATATCAAAACTTGATACTGAAATCCATTTTACATAAAAACGTGTAGGATACTATTTTGAATATTTTGAAAAAGATCATTCCTCTTAATTTTCTCCCATCAGCCTTTCTATTTATCCTTGGAACTGTAAATCTCATGCTTGCTATTGTAATAGAAACAATCACCTGAAATAAAGTGCTAGAAATGGTTATGGCACTTAGGTACCTACATAGTTGCCTGGGTGTTGGGTCCGACGCCCATAATCATCTAATGCTTTCTAAAACATCGACACAATCATATAGAATGCTCACTTGTGTTTGAATATGGCTTGCATTCAAATGATTCAAGGCTAGTTTGACTTGGACTAAAAGTTTGATTTTGATGGGAAAACAAATTAACGTTGGAATTGAATTCGAATTGAAAGGGGGATTAGGGTTTTCAAGTCAAACGCTTCATGGGAAGGAACTTCATGTGACCTCAAAACAGTAGAAAATATCTACAAATATTCTTTGAGAGTTTCATTTGTAGATCAATAAAAAAATGAAGTAAAAGAAAAAAGAAAAAGAAAATAAAGAGTAAAGCAATTGAAAAATTACTTTTATGAGTGATGTTCAAGAAATTTCTTTTGTAATCTTCGTCAAGTAATGAAAATTTTCCCCTTCTCTCACGAGAGTTGGCATATTGCGGAACCACTTGAAATCTTCTTGTTTGCATGATCATTTGTTTTCTTTATTCGTCATAAAGGGGTTTATGTCACCGATTAATACTCAAATTGCTATTAATACTCAAATTACTAATAGAGCCAATGGTTGTTGGATTTGGGATTCTCTTACACATACAAAGCTATTGACGATTTGATCGAGAGAAATGTGAGGTAAGCAATAAAGAACAAGACAACAACAATAAAGTTTGAGGTAAACAAGTTCGATGGTATAGGAAAGTGTTTTTATGATAAAGAAAAGTCGAGACACTTCTAGTGAAAGAAGGATTTGCTCAAGATTTTACACAACAAGAAAAATCTTGCAGTAGTTGAAAAAGCAAATTTTCTATAGTTAAAGACATTGAAAGTGTTGGTACTCAAGTATTGAGAACTATGTGGCTTCAAATAGGGCTCATGAAGGTGTTCTTCAACTTTTTCAAGTATTCAAATAGTGAGAACTATACATAAGCTTAGGTGGAGGTCACAACGACATCCTTAAAGTTCATTCAAGCAGTCTATTATTAGTAGAGATGTATGATTTCAGTTGGAGGTCTTGAAGGTGTTCTTAGAAGTTCATTTATGTACTGAAATTATTGAGATCCGTAAGCGTTCTCAAGTAGAGGGTGTGAAGGTGGAGCAAAGAGACGAGATCGTTCAAATTAAAGCCAAGTGAAGATTGTTGAATATAATTTGCATTCAAACAATTCAAGTCAAATGTTCATTTGATTTGGATTGAGTTTGGCCTTGATTGGAAAATAATTGCAATTGAAAGTGAATTCCAATGAAAAGAGGATTAGGATTTGAATAATTTTTAAGTCAAAGACATGTTTAGAATACCTCAGAATAGGAGAAAAGATTTATAAATATTCCTTTTTAGATTCATTATAGATCATCAAGAAGATGAGAAAAAGATCAAGGAAAATCAAGAAGAGAGAAGAGTTGAGCAATTGAGAAATTGCTTTTTTGAAGGATCTCTAATCGAAAAGAAAAATTGTAATCTTAAATGATAAATATTTTTCCTGATTCCTCTATGAACGTAGGCAAATTTATGGGATAAATAATTCTCCTCGTTCTCCCATGGTAGTAAGCAAATTGCGCAACCACTATGAATTTTCTTCTTTGTATGATTGTTTTCTTTATTTGCTATAAAAAGGGTTTTTTTTTTTGGGGTGGTGGTGGTGGTTAAGACGCTAGTTAAAACCTAGCAACTTGAGACCGTGTCACACGAGTCGAACAAAGCTTATGTACAGCTAGAGAGGAGAAATTAGTTTATTCTTATCTTAAAAAGATAGAAAGAATAGAAAAAATTATCCAGAAAGGACATTATGAGGGAAAAATAGAAACTGAAAGCTTTAACTATTTCATGTTCTTTGAACTCCATTCTCACCAACTTACTAAGCACATTCAGGATGAAATTCCATGGTATATGTTATTTGCTGATGATATAATATTAGTTAATAAAACTAGAAGATGCATTATTGCTAAAGTAGAAAGATGGAGATAAGCTCTTGAGTCTAAAGGTTTTAGAATTAGTAGAACAAAATCAAAATATATGGAATGTATTTTTAGTAAAAGTAGGAAAGAAAGACAGCCTATGGTACATATTGATGATAAAAAATATCTAAAACTAATCATTTTCGCTATTTAGGATCTATCATTCGACATGATGGTGAGATAGATGATGATTTGTGCATCGAATCAAATTGGGATGGTTGAAATGGAGGAGTGCTTCGGGAGTCTTATGTGATTGTAGATTACCAATAAAACTAAAGGAAAAATTCTATAGGACTGTTATAAGACAACTATGCTTTATAGGTCAGAATGTAGGGCAATTAAAAAACATGTTAAAAAAATGTGTAGTAGAAATGAGAATGTTGCGATGGTCTTGTGGATATACATTAGAAGATAGGATAAGAAATGAATGTATCCGTAGTAAATTAGAGGCTGCGCCTATTGAGGATAAAATGAGAAAAAATAGATTAAGATGGTTTGATCATGTATAAAGGAGACCTCTTAGTACACCGATTAGAAAAAAATGATAATATTAGAGTTAATGAGGCTAGGAGATTTAGAGGTCGATATAGAATGACTTGGTCATAAGTAATTAAGAAGGATATGATTAAGACTAACGTAACGGAGGAAATGATCCGCAACAGAGTGGAATGAAAAAATAAGATTCATTTAGCCGACCCCAAACATTTGGGATAAAGGATTGGTGGTTGTTTGAACTCCATTCTCATTGCTCACATGATGTTTTTGCTTTTAGGTTGTGTTGGGCAACTTATTACTAATTTAGTTAAGGCTTTAACCAGATTAGTTTTCAGGTAAGGGGTGAATCAATGTTGGGGTTTAGATCAATGCTATAGTTAAGGGCCAGAAAATCAATTAGCAAAAACTAAGGGTGTGTTTGGTAATCGATGTGTTTGTTTTTGTTTTTTTATAAAAACACCATGTCATGGTGTTTTTTTTCAAACATGTTTTGAAAACATCATTTATAGTTATT